GTCACACAATCCCGACTCACTTGCCTTCTATTTTCCACTTCTGTTTTCTTCTATATTTTCTTGGAGAATTTCTCCAATTTATCTTCCAGTGCTGTGTTGAGTTATTTATTTATTCCATCATATGTCAATTTCTGAAAAGCTCTTTTACCTGCCATCTGAACACTCAGTTTATGTTTCACATACTTGTTTCATGAATGCAATCTCTTCTCTTTCCCTCAGAGGGTATTAATCAATGGGTTTTATTTAAAAAAATTCTTCCTGCACAATCTTTGTTTCTTCCAATTTATTTTTTATTTATTGGTATTTGCTTTTTATGTTATATCTTTTCTACTGTCTGACAATTCTTGTCAGTGCATGGTTATAGTGGGTTATGAGAATATTGACTCATATTGACTCAACAGTGTTGTAAGCATGGGTGATCTGGCTGACCATTTCCTTTGGTGGTGCCCATGCCAGTATCTTTAAATCTTTTATCTCAGGCTGCTAATATTTCCAATTAAGAGCTCTTCCAGTGACTACCCAGAATCTGGCTCATAATGGGGAGAAAACTCTTGGAATTTCTACAGTAATGGTCTAAAAGATACTTCACCAGCCTTCTACTGGGTCAGGAACAGTTGGAAGTACAATACTAGAATCTGTTTCCTCAACAGATTTTCTGCCATTCTCTCTCTTTGTTCTTTTTTTAAAGATTTTATTTATTTACTTTTAGAGAAGGGAAAGAGAAGGAAAGAGGGATAGAAACATCAATGTGTGGTTGCATATCACATGCCACCTACTAGGGACCTGGCCCTCAACCCAGGCATGTGCCCTGGCTGGGAATCAACCCTTTGGTTCACAGGTCAGTGCTCAATCCATTGAGCTTCACCAGCCAGGGCTTCTCTCTCAATTCTTGAGGAGTATGATGCCTTTAATGCTGAAATTTTGGGAATTCAGTGACTAAGATGAGACATGTATTTTTCAGATGTGCTAAGTGAGGTCCACTTCCCCATATGCTGTCTGACTTCTTCAGCTTTGTGTCCATTCTCCTTAAAATGAGGGATTTTCATTTAAAAAATCCCATCATAATTTTAATGCGGTTTCAGAAGGGAGCAGAGCTCAATATGTGTGATTACTACAACATCTCTAATCAGAAGCATCAACAATTGACCCAAACTGTAAATGGCGGTAAGGTATCAGAACAGAAACATAGTTCCATTATAGGCAACAGCTAGGTCACACTAGAGTGGCATCTTCCCCTCTGAGAGCCAAAATCTGTGGTTGGCAAACTACAGAATGGTCAGAGAAGAGAGATGGTGGTGGTTCAAGATGCAAAACCCAATTAGTGAGAAGCAACTGAAGGAATTACTGAGAGGTATCTGTAGAAAAGAAGATGTTGTGGGCAAAATTTGAATGCAGCTAAGTTGACAATCTGTGGGACAATTAATTATATTGACTCTCTATTCAAAGATTGTGGAAAGGTAAGGACATTATAGCTATTATTAAATATTTAATTGACTGTTGTATTCACAACGGATTAGATATTAAGTTTGGTTTTCAGGGACATGAAAATGATAACTAAACCAAGGGAAATCAAAGTACCTTTGTCTCAGAAAAGAAAACTTACCACAGGTATCTGAGACACAGGTGTGACCAAGCAAATGGCATCAATGCATTTACTGGAGGCATAAAGATATTAACAAACTTTAAAGTGTATACCATGTATAAAATGAGTAGCAGTATTGAAAGTCCAATATTTCTAAAGAAACCATATATTTCAACATTTATTTATAATATTCCATTCTTGGACATCAATGTATCTTGGACTTTGTATCTGTATCATTTTGTATCTTTTACCAAGCATATGGCAGGATGAATCTATCCAGTAGGACTCTGGTAACCTCTCTAATGATTAGGTCTAACATTAACATTAACATTAACATTAACATTAACATTAACATTAACATTAACATTAACATTAACATTAACATTAACGTTAACATTTATTATCGTTGGAATTGTCCAAGAGAGATTGACTGGCATATGTCATATGTCAGATTGACTCTCATATGCCATATATTAGGTATATCCCTGAGAATAAAATGGAACTAAAAATATTTAATCACCTTTTAATAGCAAAGATTGTATTCCTGAAAGGTGATTTAAAAAAACGTGGTTGCCAATGGAATAATTAATTGTGTCCACTGTACAATATCCGGTCTTTAGTTTTTCTTTTCTCTCCTTTCACTCTTTTGGGTCATTTAACATCACTGTGTAAACCACAAAAATGTGGCTATTTACATGTGGGTTTTTCTAGAAAAAAATCACCTAGCTACAATTATAGGGTAACCTGATGTTAACTGTTATTCGTATTTGTTGTTTTCAATAAATAGTCATTACATTCCAAAGTTGTTATTTGAATTACCCAATAGAAGAAATAACAAAAGCATGGTGGATTCACACTAATTATAATTTAACAGTTGGGAATACATTTGACTCTATAACCCATTTCTCTAGCTTACACAGGAAGGCCATGAGACCTCAAGAGAAGTCAAAGACTTGCTCAGTCCTGCCTAGGATGTAGTAGATTATAGGGGGAGAGTTAGAAGGAGAAGACATGACATTTTTCTTGGGAAGTTTCTAATCCCAAAGGAAGAAACTGAATACCACACTAATATCTACTAGAAGCAGTTTAAGGTACAGAGAACCCAAAATATTGTAATTATACTTCATTATAATTATTCCTGCTAGCTTAGGAATTCAGTTCCAACAAAATAGAAGAAAAGCTGGCACTCTGAAATTTGAACTCCAGGAAAGGTCTGTGTTGGGTGGCTTGCCCCACAGTCTCCTTTCTGCAACTACTTCTATGCTAGAAACTTTCATCATTAAATGACTAAGAGTAAATTGGGAATGAGAGATAAATATAACAGTAATAATAAAAGTCAATGTTAGCTACCAAACAATTAGATTGCAAACAAGCATGAAAATAAGTGCCCCTTAAATTTAATAGGAGGATACTGAGTATCTCGTGAAAAGGAAATGGGAGCTTTGAATTTTGGTGTTATGTTTACAGAAGATCTCCCAAAAAAGAGATGTGGAAGGTATTATTCATTGCAGGAAAGCAGATGGTCTAATAAGATGGATTAAAGTATCACATTTTCTTTTTGAGGTGATTTATATTTAAATGAGTTCTTCACAATCCTTTAAACTCAAGGAGAAATTGCTTATCAATGTTCTTTGCTATAGGCGTGGTTTTACATAACAACAAATTTTACAGAAGTTCCTCAAAAGAAAATATTGATTTAAGGAACATCACAGGATATTTTTGTTCCAGAAATGCTTTAGATTACTGACACAGACAACACGTGACAAACTTCCTAAAGCCTTCATTTCTCTAGTAGGAAGTATAGGCAGTGTATCTTTGCTCAGTAGAAAATATATTTGAAATATAATTTTTTAATAAACATGATTCTTTTCTCTCTGGTTTGTCATTCATATGAACTTAAAACAAGTCAGGGAGACTCTGCCATGTGCTGGGTAGACAAGTGGCAGGAACCTGGCAGGAAATGCCTGGATATGCCTGGATATGCCTGGATATGCCTGTGTTACCACCAATCCCAGGTGTCTCCCACTTTACCCAATGTGTGACTGTGAGACAGAACTTCCATAGGATGCCTTGTCATTTCTCACAATGTGAGGCATAGTCACTGTGCTCATTTGAGTGAGCCTCAAGCAGTGGTGGGAGGCATTTGAGCCCTAATTTATTCCTATCTCTCATAGGCCCCATGTGCCTTATCACAGAAAATCTGCTTTTTCCTCAGCCCTCAATACCTTGAGGGTGACTACCAAAAGGCTGGCTCCTCTGTGTCATACATAGCTCAGGGCCCACATTCTAGCAGGTTCTCCCTAAGGAAGACTTCCCAGGTAGCCTCATGATAGTGTAATCCTGGGACAAGGTTCTGGTAGCATCTGAGATTGACACTACAAATAGGAAAGGAGAGTGGACTTACCCACAAGACCTAGGCTGGGCTATCATTAACTGGTTATGTGGTTGTGGAAAAATCTGTTTGCTTCCTTGAGCTTTGTTTTCTCCTGGGAAAGTGAGGCAGCTAGATTGCAGCAATGGCTTTCAAAACTGTATTATTTATTTTTTAAGTGAAACTTTTTACAAATGAAGTTGTATGTTGAATCCTAGTGGATAAAACAGATGGAGGTGACAGTACCCATCTTGGAGCAAAGGCTAGACTGGAGAGACACAAGTTCATTCACCTCCTATGCCCTCTAACCTCCTCTTGTCTCTAAGGATCCTTAGAGGATCTAAAGCTGTACAACCAAATGTCAGCATGGGTACTGGGTCACCTCCAGGTTTATCCCAGTTCTCATATTCTATGATTCTAAACCATATCTGTAGACACAGGAAAAGGGCATTAGATTCATATGAGAAGACAACTAAAAATTAAGGTCAGGGTTGATAATTCAGAGGAGACGTGATGTGGGAAAACATGTAATCAGTGACTTGCCTGGGGGAGGCCAGGGACACAGGGACATTGTGGGTGGTGAGATTCTAAACTGGGTCCTAAAATTTTGCAGGTTGCAGTCATGGGAGTTGAGCTTCATAATCACGGTTATGAAATCTGTTAAATTTTGCTGCAGTTAATTTAATTATATAGAATTTTATTTGTAGCCTGATAGCATTATTTCATGAATTGACTTTATTTTCTTAAAGATTATTTGATATTGAGATAATCAACTTCCAATTAAGATCCAACTATTACTTATTAACATCAGCATACATTTTCACTTTTCCTTTTGTTAATATATAAATTTTAAACAAATTGGCACATGTTCTCTGAAAAGTGAAAGATCATATCCCACTGTTGCAACCATAGCTTTATAAACTTTATGTTGGATCCATATTAAACTCTATTAACTCCTGCCAGCGCCTCTGGCTCTGCCTGTGTCTGTGATTGACAGTGTCTTTGGTTTCATTCTGGCACATCTGTGGCCACACCCTGTTCACTTACCTGCCTCTGCCTTCTGCTGCTTTTCAATCTTCTCCAGGCGCCCTAGCAAGGAGTCAATTTTTGTTTTGATCTGCGTTAATTCTTTCTTGATTGTCTGTAACTCATCTGATTTCACTGGAAAGGGGGAAAGGGACAGAAAGCAACAGAAATTCAAAGGTACCACACTCAGCATGCATCTCCCAGTCACCCTGCGTTTTCTCCAGATGGTGTGAAACCTCCAATGGTACTTTTCAAGTCTTATCAGGTCCTCATTACCTGCAGCTTATTCTAGAATACAAGTAACTTGATTACAAATAGTGTTTCTCTGTGAGGTAAGCACCAAAGTTTATGCAAAAAGATAGAGGGATCTAGAAATATTTAAAAAATATTTTTTTTAGAGAGAGGAGAAGGGAGGGTGAAAGAGAGGGAGAGAAACATCCATGTGTGAACACTGATGTGTTGTTGCCTCTCATGCCAGCCCACAACCCAAGCATGTGCCCTGACTGGGAATCAAACTGGTGACCTTTTGGTTCACAGGCCAGCACTCAACCCACTGAACCACACCATCCAGGGTGGGATCTAGAAATACTTTATAAAATAACTGTGTTAATTCAGTTTTGGCCAATAGTTGAGTAACTAAAATGGACCCAGATTGAGGGAGGATTAAAGCATGACAGGTGTATTAGTGCTACTTTTAGGACCATGCTGTAATGCATATTTTAGTACTCAATGATCTTTTTAATTTAGTTCTTTGCTGACTGATTGAAATCAAGATACCACATTTATCTTCTAAAATGTGTTAGACGTTAGAGAAGTTTCTCTAGCTCACAGAACGCTTGCTACTTGACCTGTTAAAATCAAACAAAAATACAAAAGAAACAGGTAGTGGGTTTTGCCTATTTTTTTAAATCCCTGATGCTAGAGGGAAAGAAAATTCACTGAAGTTCCCATTAGTATTTTTACAGTAATAGTTCTCATTCCAGGCTTTTGCTGTTTACTGTAGTTTCAAAGATTAAAAAAATGGTACCAATAGAAGATTGACAATTTTTCATTTTGCCAAGTAAGAATGTAAAATAACAATGTTTGTAAACATTCTACTATCAACTATAATTATAAAGAAAAGGATTTAATAAAAGGACAATTTCATATTTACTAAACACTCCATTAAATGAAATATGTTAATGTTTATGAAAATTTTACTGTACCATCCTTATTTTCTCACTTTGATGAGAACCTTTGGAAATGTTGTCATTAACCCACAATAACCAGAGCCTAAAGATCTTAAACTTGTCATTATGGACCAGCTACACTTTGCAGTGAGCATTTACTAGGTGGATTTTGGGATGTCTGTGCCTCAGCAGAGAGCTATGCTCAAGGTCTGGGGCATTGATCTTGAGGTCAGCAACTACTCTTTGTTACTTTTCCTTTCAATTTTATAAAGATCTCAACTTGTATATTCCCCAGAAATTCTGGATGAAACTGAGTGTTTAGCTCAATTCTTAGTCTTCAGGAAATTTATTACAAATAACAAAAACTAAGTGCAATCTGTATTTGCTTGAGATAGAGTTATTTGTCAACTAAGATACAACATATAATATACATGATTAATTATGCATTCACATAAATAATTGCTCAAAGGAAGAACAGTTTTTTTCCAATATAAAAATAAAACATCCTTTTCTATGATAAAATCACAAGTTTTTCATACAAAAATAATTTTACTTGTAAAGTAGTTTACAAAATAAAAACTGCAGGAATCAGGGGGCCCATAGAGTAGTGTTCCTACTCTAGAAAACCCAACCTAAAGGAGAATATAGTTTAAAGTAGAGAATTGCTCCTTAGGTTAATTATTTTAGACATAGAAGTGTCATTGTTGAATTGCAGCTAAATTTGAAAAACACCATCTGTTACAATTGCAAACTGATTCTTTGAAGAATTATTTCGATTCCCTTTGATGAAAGCATATAATGTAGTTTTACTTAAATCTCATAAATTTATATTTAAGAGATCTTAAATTTAATAGAACATATTTTATCTTATGGCATTAGCTTTCAGTGCAGGAGAAATAAGGATATGGCTGGAAAGTAACAGACTAGATTTCTTAATAAGTGGAGCCACTCCTCAGCCCAGGACTAATTTTAGTCTATCTCTTTAAAAAAATAAATAAACCACAAATGCCCAGTTTTATGGAAACTACATTAAAAACCAATGACAAATCTGGACTCACCAAGTAAGAACTTGTAAGTGTGCAGGGAGTTAAGGTTTCCTTTGTATAGATTCATGTCCAGTATTATAGGAACACTTTTGATCAAAACTCGATCACTATGAAGTTGAAATCTAATTAGTTAATACTCTTTGAGTTTAGAGACAACAAGGATGTAACCACACAGGTTTTGTCTCTCTGTCCTGGCCCTTAACATGGCATGGTGAATTGGTCTGCAGCCCTGTGTAGGTTGCCTGGTTCCTTTCTTGGAATGACTGGCAACAAGTGCTCAAAGAGCCTGGAAATTTCTGCTCTTGTGCCTGGATTCCAGAAGGGATCCCTAGGATGAGCCATCTCTGTGCTTTCTCTCTTCTCTGCCTTTTTTTTTTCTACCCTTTAAAACCCCTGTTAACAATTTCTCTACTGCTTGGTGGATGACAGTAATTCCCTGTTGATTTTTACCTATTCCATCAAAATTGGCATATACTTCATGACACATTTCTTAGCTTTGAATTAAAAAATTGTTTGCAACTTTGATTTATGATATTTAAAAAAAATCAGTTTAGAATTCAGATGAGTCTTAGGTCCAAAGCACCCCTGTCCATTTTTTTCTTTTCTTATTTCTTGTGCATTTAAAATAATTAATTAATTAATTAGTTAATTAATTAATCTTTAGAAGGGGAAGGAAGGAGAGAGGAAGAGAAATATCAATGTATGGTTGCTTCTCATGTGTCCCCTGCTGGGAACTGGCCTGCAACCCAGGTGTGTGCCCTGACTGGGAATCGAACCACGATCTTTTGATTCGCAGGCCTGCATTCAATCCACTGAGCTACACTAGCCAGGTTCTTGTGCATTTTAATTACACTCATCATTGGGCTTCTGCTTTCTATCTGCCAAGCCTCTTTTATGGGGCCCTCAGATAATATGTACATGTGATAAGCCTTTCCTGCTGAAAATTCTAAATGTCCCAAATTTTATAGGAAAAAATACCAGAAACACTCATATGTGCACAAACCTAACTCTCTAAACTAGTATTCACAGTCTGCTCCAAAGGATAATCCCAAGTATGCATTCTATTTCCTTTCAAAGAAAACTCTTCACTTGAATAGAAAAGTTAGTGCTACCCAATTAGTGTGTGGAACCTGATAGACTCTACTACACACCTATGTCCCTAGGGGAATCACTTGTAACAGCTCAGACTTTGGTTCACCATCTACAACTTCCATTCTTGTTGTGAAAATTTATTGAGATAATGCACATAAAGCAATTAGCACCACGCCCGCAACATTATCCGTGCCAATAAATGGTAGAAGCAGAAGATATTTTTCCAATTATTATATTTATTTTTTATTTTTAATATATTTTATTGATTATGTTGTTACAGTTATCTCATTTTTTTCTCCCCTTTATTTCCTTCCACCCTGTACCCATCTTCCATCATCATTCCCCCACTTTAGTTCATGTCCATGGGTTATACATATAACTTCTTTGGCTTTTCCATTTCCCACACTATTCTTAACCTCCCCATCTATTTTGTACCTATGATTTATGCTTCTCATTTCCTGTATGTTTTCCCTCTTCCTTCCCGTCTCCCTCCCCACTGATAACCCTTCATGTGATCTCTATTTCTGTGAATATATTCCTGTTGTAGTTATTTGCTTAATTCATTTTTGTTTTGTTTTTGTATTTTTAGGTTTGGTTGCTGATAGCTGTGAGTTTGTTGTCACTTTACTGTTCATAGTTTTGATAATCTTTTTCTTATTTAAGTCCTTTTAACATTTCATATAATGAAGGCTTAGTGATGATGAAATCCTTTAACTTGACCTTATCTGGGAAGCACTTTATCTGCCCTTTCCATTCTAAATGATAGCTTTGCTGGACAGAGTCATCTTGGATGTAGGTCCTTGCCTTTCATGACTTCAAATACTTCTTCCCAGTCCCTTCTGGCCTGCAAGGTTTCTTTTGAGAAATCAGCTGATAGTCTTATGGAAGTTCCTTTGTAGGTAAGTGTCTCATTTTCTCTTGCTGCTTTTAAGATTCTCTCCTTATCTTTAATCTTGGCTAATGTAATTATTATGTGCCTTGCTATGTGCTTCCTTGGTCTAACTTTTTTTGGACTCTTTGAGCTTCCTGGACTTCCTCAAAGTCTATTTCCTTTGCCAGAGTGGGGAAGTTCTCCTTCATTTAAAAAAAAAATCTATCTCTTCCTCTTCTCCTTCTGGCACCCCTATGTTTCACATTTTGGAAGGTTTAAAGTTGTCCTGGAGGTTCCTAAACCTCTCCTCATATTTTTTGAATTATTGTTTCTTCATTTTGTTCTGGTGGAATGTTTATCTCTTCCTTCTGCTCCAAACCATTGATTTGAGTCCCAGTTTCCTTCTCTTCACTGTTGGTTCCCTGTACATCTTCCTTTGTTTCACTTTTCATAGCCTTCACTTTTTACTCTATTTTGTGACCATTCTCAACCAATTCTGTTGAGCATCCTGATTACCAGTGTTTTTAACTCTGCCTCTGAGAAGTTGGCTATCTCTTTATCTCTTAGTTGTATTCTTTCTGGAGCTTTGATCTGTTCTTTCATTTGGGCCATATTTTTTTGTCTTGGCATGCCTATTACTTAGTATGGGGCAGAATCTTACATATTCACCAAAATGGGGCAATCTACTTTGCTGAGCTGTGGTGCTGCACGTGGGCGAGGGGGTCCAAGAGGAAACAATGCTGCTGTTCAGTTTTCTGCCTACTTTTAGTCACTTCCTCTGCTACCCACAAGCAAATTGGGCCCTTCTGTTGCTGATTCCCAAGTGGGTGGGTTTGTGTACATTCTAAGACCCTGTGGGTTTTTTCAAGGAACACTCCTGTGAGGATGGGAGCTTCTCCAGTTGCCTCAACCCTCACAGGTTTTTCCAGTCAGAGGTTTTGAGGCTTTATTTCCCCAAGCTGGAACCCTGGGTTGTGTGGTCTGTTTTGCTCTCCAGTTGCTCCTCTGGGTTTATCCACACACAAATTTGGGACTGCCCACTCCACCAGCTGCCACCTGGCCTCCAGTACTCTACCCTGGCTGCCTGTCTCTGCCTCTCTTACTGGTTTTAATGAATGTTGCTTCTTTAGTTTCTTGGTTGTTGGATTTCCATACAGTTAGATTTTCTGGAAGTTCTGGTTATTTTCTGTTTTTACTTTATTGTTGTCCTCCTTTTAGTTGTGTGAGCAGGAAAGTGTATCTACCTCCACCTCCACCTTGGCCAGAAGTCTCCCACTCCATTCTTAGTAGGACTTAGCTCAGCATGTTGAACACAGAAAACACTTAGCAAATAACACACAATCTGTAGGTATGTGTATATAGCTATGGTTACTGTATGCCAATTTCAAGCAGACCACCAAAGTTGATTAAAAGCTTCATGTATGTGCTGGGCACTATATTGAAGCTGACTATGAAATATGAAGTTATATAAGCAAACAAAAAGTGCAGAAAGAAAACTAGTGTGGAAATATTCTTTTCCATTATCATAAGCACTGTGACAAAAAAAGTAAGAAAAGAACACCTGCCTTTAGCAAATACCATTTTGCATTTTTTCCCAATTCTACCTCAACCATTCATTCAAAAGCCATACTTCTGGTATTTAAAGACACATCACATTGACTAGAACACCTTTTTAATGTATATTAAAATTAAATTAAATCTCAATAGTGTTAGATATCGCAACCAAGGAATATTTCTCTTACTAAGAATAATACTGAATACTTTTAATTGATTTGCTGTTGTACAATTGTTTCATAATAGTCCCCTGATGTAGACAAGTGGGGAGATTGGGCAATTAGATATAATTATTAGATGTGTGAATTTTGCAATTTAAAAATTATGAGTGTGAGGATCTGAGAATACTGTCTTACTTCTCAATTGGCTCCCAATCTTTTCTCTTTGCCTCCTCCTTTACAGCTCTGGCCACACTACTCATAACTCCTTTTCTGTGTCATGTTTTCAGCATCCAAACTTTTGTTTCTGTGGTTTTTATTGGTTTGCACCACTCTCTTATTCTTCCTAGTACATGCACTTTAATTCTTAAACATTCAGCTCAAATGTTACCTAGGCTTTGAAGTCTCCTTCCATGCTTGGTCCTCTTCTTCACCATACTTCACCCTACCCATACTCCTTTCAGGTGACACTTTGAATGACCATTTCTTCAAAGATCTTTCTCTGACATCAGAGCTGACAACACCAGTTTTTTCTACATGTTCGGGTAGACAGTATAAGGTTACCATGCAGCTGATTCTACACAGTTAAGCTGCACTTATTGGAAAAAGGCTCCTTAGGGAACATTTCCATAGTGAGAAGACATTTCTATTTGTTACAAAGGCTGATACTTGCCATTTGCATTTGTATGTGGAGATCAGGAATGTAACTGTCCTATAAAGCCAAGAACACTCTTACACAATGAGGAATTGCTGTGGCCAATGGGTCATTAATGTTTCTATTGATAAACTTTGTCTTAAAAGTGACTACATGACAAAGAATCCACAGACATTTAATATTTATGTTTGAAATTAAGTTAATATTACCATAGTAGAAAAAATGTTCTGTAAACCTAGAAGGCAATTTAACATTCAATTTTTCACAGCAAGAACCAATTCAAAACTTTCTTTGCTTTTGAGAATAATCGAGAGCATATAACACTGGTTAGGGATTGCTTCTGAAACCATTTTCTTTTATTACTAAGAATTTAAAAAGGAATTGTTTATCTACTCACAGAGCAGATAGACAAATGGGTAGATAAGTACAGAAAGATCTGTAAATCTATTTAAATTGCTATTTAGGTGATAGTAGCTAAGTCAAATTCTGAGTCACATTCTGAGCACACTAATCTTTTGTCAGCATCACCAAAGCATCAGTGCTTTCCTGCTTTCTGAACTACTTTTTTGGATATTTTCATGTGAAAACAAAGTATTTCAGCAGTGATTCTGTCTTGGCACTTCTGATATTACTGAAAGGTAAAGGGCAGTGTTCTACAGTAGACATAGCATATAGTATAAGAAGAGGTCCAGGTTGCAGTCTTAGCTCTACCATTTACTAGCCATGTGACCTCTCTGTGTTTACTTATCAATAAATTGGGATAACAGTATTTGCCTTATGTGTCTTAAAGGGTTGGAATGCCAAGCAACCACAAAGACCTTACAAGGGCCTCCCAAGCTGCACTGAATCTTGTCTCCTTCTATTTTTTTGCGCTAATTATCAGCTACACTTCCTCCCTGGCTCTGCTGCACCTCACTGGCTCCTTCACTGTTCCCTGACTATGCCAATTTAACATGTCTGTTCACCATTCTTTCTGCCAAGAATGCTCTGCTCTGATAGCTTCAGAGCACTTTCATACTCGTGAACTTTCCTGAGGTCTCTGCTCGCATATCACCAGGTCCAAGAGGTTGTCACAGTCTCTCCTATGATGTAGAGTTCTTCCATCTTTCTCTGTTGCTTTATTATACTTTATTCTTGGACATAGTGGTGATCTACCCTATACTATCTCATATTTTAATTTGTTTGCTTATTGTCTATCTCTTCTTTGATAGAATGTAATCTCAAAGAAGGCAGATCTTTCCTTCCCTTAGGAATATTATTCTAATAAAAAAATTAGAATTTTTTTTCTGAATCAGTGTATGTAAAAATTTAGAAGTGTGTTTAGTGAGACATTTTATGTCTTACTTTTTAATGATGTAAAATTATGCAAATATTTTATTTTTATGACATTAAATATGTTTTCAGGCACATAACTCTCAAAATAATTCTAGAATAGCATGGTAAGATGCTTTTAAAGTCTCTCCTATGTAATTTGCCTATATTAATTATCTTAATGCATTTTCAAATACTCATAACTGCACTAATTTGGCATATTGTGTCTATGAAAAGTAATATATGCGTTTTATTCAAAAGTGCAATAATTTATTCACTAAAATCATTATATTCTATTTTGGGACTTTAATATGGCACAAGCTAAGTGAGTCAACAGCTCATTATTTTCCCAGATAAAACAGTTTTCAAATTGGTCCTGAGTTCTCATCAGTCATATTTGTATCTATTTCTTCTTCTTTCCCATATATTTTGATAGGAAGCAGATACCATTTTTTATCCATTTTATATTTCTCTAGTATTTTATACACAGCAGACATTCCATAACTGTTTGGTTAACTATTGAATATAGGCATCCATGCAATGATATTTATCTCCACCCTTCTTTAAAAGAAAAAAAGTAGATTACTTACATTTAGAGCATGATGAAGAGGACCCGCTGATGGTAGATCTGGATCCACCTTTCATGGAAAAGACTCCTTTTCCTCTGCGTGTTGTTGTGACAGCTACCCTGGGGCGCTTCAGTGGGATAACTGCACGGGGAGGTGGAGGAACACGGCCATGGTAATCAAATAACCTGCACCAAACACAGATTTAATAAGATATGCTTATGCCTCAGTGTTCCATCAAATATGGGAAGTGATTAAGAGAATGACCTTGTAGAAAACGTTAATAAATGCTTTGGTTATTGGTATTCTTTAATATTTAGAAATGGGCACTTGTTGAAAGGTTCATTTTTTAAAAGAAATAAAAATACAGCCTATGCCTTGTGGACATTAGTATCTTGATCACCAATATGAGCTCATGTGTCACACATTATAGGCCATAAATATACTATGTGATTTATTCAGATTATACTTGTATCAGCATAATTTGTTTTCTTGGTTTCACCAATTTACCCTTCTTAGGAACAGAAATCTCCCATCTACATATCAGACACCTAGCAGCACACTAGCATGAAAAAAAGAAAAGATCATGGAAAATCAGGAACAAAGAAAAGTTTTGTCCAATCAGCAAATAGCTTAGGAACTTCCATTCAGGATGATGGCATATGTAAATACAGCTCACCTCCATGCACAACCACATCAGAATTGCAACTAAAATACAGAAGACCCATCACTCAGAACCATCACTCAGAACCATCACAGGCTGAGTTGAATGGAAGTCTGACAACTACAGAATTGAGGAAATCACATCTATCCAGATGGTAGGAAGGAGGTGGAAACATGGAATGGGCAAGTCCTACATCTACATGTGGTGGATAAAAATTTCAGAGGGATATTTTGGTAGTGAAGGGTCCCAGCCCCACACCAGGTCCCCTGGCCCAAGATTCCAGTGCCAGGGAGATAAATCCATATAATTTCTGGCTGCAAAATCCAGTAGGGATTGTGTCAGTGGAGGAAAATGCTGGATTCTCACACAGTTGTTCTTAAAGAACATACAAACACACTCATTCCCTCTGAGCTTTAGCACCAGGGTAGTAGCTTGCAAAGCATAGGTGGCATATATGGAGGAACTGGAGTGTCTGGCATTGGGCTAAGAGCTGGGGAACAGTTTTCTCTCAGACAGAGAGGCGGGCAGAGTCCATTGTCCCTTTGCTGAGCCTTCCCCCCAGAGACACAGAGCCAGCAGGGGGTACCATATTTGAGACTTGTGGAATAAGTGGAGGCAGCCTGGCTTCCTCACTCGGGTGTCTGAGTAGCTAAGGAAAACAATGTTCCCATAGCCTTGGAGGGGTCTAATAACTGGTGCTCTCATAGCCTTGAGACTGGGTCCAATAAACTGTTCCCATAACATGAAGTAGGCTTGCATGCACAGAATTATGTTATGTTATATAATTTCTGGCATCTTGCTGGCTCTATTCCCCTCTAGTACTTCAACAGGTAGGGACTTCCTGCTGGAGGCAATGATGATGAGAGACACACAAACTGCCATGCTGGGGAGCAGGGGCCATGACATAAAACATGCAGATAGATACGCAGCTTGCAGTGTGCATGGCTCACCCACCCATGAATAAAGGTATATCAGACATCCCAGTGGCTCCATGGATATTTTCTGTTTGCACGAATACCATGAACCTTCTTGGCCTTGGAGGGTCACAATACAAGATTCTATCAACCTGGCTAACACTCTTTGCCCTACCCTGGAGATCCCCCCGAGACTTTATCCCACCCAAATTATGAGCCCACTTAAACTGTTAACAGTGACTTTTTCATATGAATGGTTTGTCTTGGCTTATGCTTCACAACTTCCTAAATCCTGTCAAACAAGCAGCTGGACTCAATAGGCCCTCAGTACCTGCACCTCTTGCTAAGTGGCCCCAACTTGGCAGCCTAGATGGAAACCTTGACTTCTCTTAGCACCTTCAAGCCCAGTACAAGTAGCACACATCTCAGATTGCTTTAGAGCTCATATAGGGCAGCCATAGGTAGAACACAAGTGGGAGTGGACCTTGGTCTGCACCACCTGGGAAACCCCAGAGCCTGCATACCCAGCGGACAGCTACAGACTATGTCAGAGCACCAGTACCTTGTCCCTGCACAGCTAATTCTCCATGGAGAGCAGAGGTTGGTAGTCAGTGGTTATAGCAAGTCCTTGAACCTGACAGGCCTGGGTAAATCCATCCCACTCACCTTCCAGCAATAATCAAGTCTCAACTATAAGAGGAAGGTGTACTCAGCCCACACAAAGGGGGCACCTTGAGTTCCCAGCTTGAGTGATATGGGAAGCTGTGCTACTAGATCCTACATGACACCTACTACATTAGGCCATGCTAACAAGATGGAGAGTCTTAGCAATTCTACATAATACATAGAAACAAACACAGGAAGGCTGCCAAAATCAGGAAAAAAAGAAACATGGCCCAAATGAAAGACTAGAACAAAACTCCAGAAAAATAACAAAACAAAATGAATAAAATCAATGTACCATATGCAGAGTTCAAAGTACTGGTTATAAGGATGCTCAAGGAAATTAGCGAGGACCTCAGCAGCATAAAAAAAATCCAGTCAGAAACAAAGGATACACTAATTAAAATAAAGACCAATTTACAGGGAAACAATGGTAGAGTGGATGAAGCTGAGAATCAAATCAATGATTTCAAAATAAGGAAGCAAAAAACAACTAATCAGAACAGCAAGAAGAAAAGAGAATCCCCCCAAATAAAACAACAGTGTAAGCAGCCTCTGGGACAACTTCAAGCATTCCAACATTCTCATCATAGTGGTGCCAGAAGGAAAAGAGAAAGAGCAAGAAAGTGAAAATCTATTTGGAAAAAAATAAGAAAGAAAAATTTCTTAATTTAGTGAAGGAAATAAACATGCAAGTCCAGGAAGCACATAGAGTCCCAAACAAGATGGATGCAAAGAGGCTCTCACATATCATAGATATATGTGAGCCATATATAAGACATGTCACAATTAAAAAGCAAATGGTTAAAGAAAAAATAGAGAATCTTAAAAGCAGCAAGAGAAAAGAAGCTAGTTATCTACAGGGGAGTTCAAATAAGACCGTCAGCTGATTTCCCAAAATAAACTTTGCAGGCTAGAAGGGATTGACAAGAAATATTCAAAGTCATGAAAAATGGAAACCTATAGCCAAGATTGGTCTACCCAGTAAAGCTATCATTTAGAATTGAAGGACAGATAAAGAGCTTCTCAGATAAGAAAAAAACTAAAGAAGTTTGTCATCACTAAACCATTATTATATAAAATATTAAGGGGGCTTATTTAAGAAAATATAGATCAAAACCATGAACCATAAAATGGTAATAAATACGTGTCTATCAACAATTGAATCTAAAAAACAAACTAAGGAGACAAAAAGAATAGAGACAGACTCATGGATACAGAGACCATTTTGGTTGTTGATAGATGGGAAAGGGTGTGGGGGAATGGCCAAAGAAGTGAGAGGATTAAGAAGTGTAAATACATAGTTAAAGCCATGGGGATGTAAAGTGCAGAATAAGAAATGGAACAGCCAAAGAACTCATATGCATCACCTATGGACATGAACAATGGTGTGGAGATTGCCTGAGGGAGTGGGGGGCACTGGGTGGAGCAGAGCAAAGAGGAAAAAATTGGGAAACTGTAATAGCATAGTCAATAAAATATAATTAAACAAGGAAAATAACTCAGAAGGAAAGAAAATGAGAAGATGAGCTTAAAAAAAAGCAGCTGTGAGAGATGAATCAATAAAATGCATACCTCTGTTTAGGCCAAGGGTGTCAAACTCATTTTCACCAGAGAACACATCAGCCTCGTGGTTGGCTTTGGGCCAAAATAATTTTAGGACTATATAAATGTAACTAACTACTCCTTAACTGTTAAGGAGTTGAAATTATATTTGTCCCTTAGAAGGCAACCAAAAAGCTGATGTGGCCCCCAGTGAAAATGAGTTTGACACCACTGCTCAAAGCATTTTTAAGAGAGGGAATACTCCCCTGTAGAAGAAAGGGGACTGACTTTGACTGGAATGATCTAGCATGAGACAAAACTGTTGATTGAAGTACTTGTGGGAATATTCATCAGGAAATCTTTTTATTATTCTGACCATCTGGTGGACGTGCTAATGGAGACTAGAGATATTTGTATGGTTGGTTATTGAAAATTTTTTAACAGTAAATATACCACTAAAACTCTTAGAAGATTTTTTTAAATAGTGAAAAATGATATGTACTGCAATTAAAACATTTCCATTAAATAATAAAAGGAATAAAATTTACTCATTTGTATAAATATGCAACTCATAGATTCAATAGCTTTCTATTATTTATATTGCATACACAAGTTTTTACATGACTTACAACATTTGAGAAATATAAAAGTTCAGAGGAAAAATATGAGGATATGAGGATTTACTCATTTATTCAAAATTATATGCCCTGAAACACATGTGTTATTATGTTATGCATTATACAAAAATAGTGTTATCACTTTAGAATGATGATTGTTACATGTTGGGAACCACTCTGCCTGGTAAACTCCCCATATGTAAGGCTGAGTGAGCAACCTCCAGAATGCGAGCCACAAGGAGATAAAGCTTGTCTCTGGTAGCAAACGCTGCCTCTACTTACTCCCCTGCCCCAAAGCATGGTCGGTTAGTCCTTGACAGATAAGACTCCTCAGAGAGAGGGGCAACCTAAGTCACACATGATCATCTGGGAGGCCATCATGGAAGGACTTGGGGGGCTGCAGGGCTGCAACAAAGAGGAAGTGATGGACCCTTGCCCCCCAGCTCTTGTGACATAGCCCTAGTCCCCATTTCTGTCTGGGAGAAGCACTTTCTGGCTCTAATCCACTTAAGCCTGAAAACCTATGATGAGGAAGGTGGTGCAGCCCTTTGCCTTGCTAGAGAGGGGTCCGAGATGATCCGGCATAAGAAAGATTGTCCTGACAATCTTGTGAAGTCTGCTTCTCTAAGAATGCTTTTAGTTAAATGATAAAGTTCTGAGCAAGAAATGAGTTTGTTTTCCCAAAGTTCTGTAGCCTTTTAGCTAATAGACCCTGACTTAGAAAAAATCCTAGTGGTTCTTTGTATACTATCTACTGTTTTCTGCCTGACAATGATTAATAAGTT